ACAGAAAAAAAAAGAGTTAAAGCTCTCTCATCCATCTGCTGGTTCACTCCCCATGTGACCATAATGGCTGGAGTTGAACTGATCCAAAGCCAGGAATTTCTTCCAGGTTTCCCACCCAAGAGCAGGATCCCAAGGCTTTGCGCAGTCCTTGACTTCTTTCCCAGACTGCAAGCAGAGAGTTGGACAGGGAAGTGGAGAGCCAGGACATGAACTGGCATCCCGTGGGATCCCAGTGGATGCAAGGCAAGGATTTAGCCACTAGGCCATTGAGCTAGACCCTTGAGACTAATTCTATAGCGCCTATATTCTTTGCTTGTGATCCAGGAGTGTCTGATTAGTGATCAGTGGCTGAACAGATTGTCTTGCTATATGGAGCTAATACGTCTCTCATTGTAGAGGAGCTCTTGTGTGTATGTTGAGCTCTGCCTTCAACAAATAGGAAATTTGTAACCTTAGCCTTCCTACTCAAGTAGAGTCTCAAGGTTTGCCAGGAGTGAGAGCTTAGGACCTTTCTTAGAATTTCCTGCGTATGTGTGCAGCCCTGGCCGTGGGCACAGGCCTCTGCTTGTGTTTGGCTTTCTAGAATCCTGGCAATACATCAGAGCCTTTAAAACCATCCCTGGATTTTCCTTGTTAATGTTTTGGTTAACCTGCTGTTTGCTTAACTCCTGTCGATTGCTTCAAGCAGCCACCAAATCCAACAATTTTTCTAATTGTTTTTGACAAATGTCCTCAGGGAAAACCTATTCACATTGGGCAAGGTCTGAGTCAGCTCAAAATAAAACAGCTTTGCAATTGGAATTATCTAGAGAAACACTAGACAGTTGAAATCATGACAACTTTCTGGGCTTGATGCTTGCTTTATTTATTTATTTATTTATTTATTTATATTAAATATTTATTTATTTTTCCATTACAAAGTCAGATATACAGAGAGGAGGAGAGACAGAGAGGAAGATCTTCTGTCTTATGGTTTTCTCCCCAAGTGAGCACAACGGCTGGTACTGTGCTGATCCGAAGCCAGGATCCAGGAACTTCTTCCAGATTTCCCATGCGGGTGCAGGGTCCCAAAGCTTTGGGCCATCCTCGACTGCTTTCCCAGGCCACAAGCAGGGAGCTGGATGGGAAGTGGTGCTTCCCAGATCAGAACTGGCACCCATATGGGACCCCTGCACGTTCAAGGCGCGGACTTTAGCCGCTAGACCACGCCACCGGGCCCGGCTTGATACTTTAAGGGGCACCAAGCCTATCCCACCCCTTTCTTGATGCTGCCAGCATGTTGATTTGTGCTGTGATTGTGAAATGCTGTCTGCTCAGGGGTACTGCACAATAGGACAAGCAGGATGGAAGTGAATGTACCACAAAGCACATTTTGTATGACTGCGATGATGCCATTTTTGGGGGATAAATATGTCTCAGATTGCTGCAAACCTTTGGTTAACTTTCAGAATTCTGAAAAAGTTGATTCTGACTATTTGCCCCCGCTTTTCTCATTGCTTTTATGGAGGAAAGCATCTTCAGAGATCTGCACTCTGTCATTTCTCCCAGGCATCACCTGCAATATATTTGAAGTGCTCTTCTCTGTGATTGCTTCCCCATATCTCGAGGCTGCACTCAAATATCTCCTCAATTGTGGGGCTCTTGCTGTCAGTTGGGTAAAGGAGTCAGCTATTTCTCTACCCTCCTATACCTCTGAGTTCATACCTCTGCAATTTCACTTTTGACAAATAACAGTAATTTACATCTGCTCCTGTTATTCCTTCCAGCCTAGAAGCTCCTAGTTGGTGACTTATGTCTCATCCCCACCCCATGCCCAGTCTACTCCCTAACACACAGTAGGCAGTTGTGTCGATGGGGTCAAAGTATCAATGTGGGAGACCTAAAGCCTCCCCCAGGAAAGGCTCAGTTCCAGCCATCACCATCTCTCTCCTCCTGCTTCTATAATCCATAGCTGACCCAGGTCTCCTCATGTTATTGCTTATGGGGAACTCTGTATGATGAACATAAGCCCACGGGGACACACTGGGTTTATGAGGAAAACTAGAAGCAAGAAATAAAAGGAAACCTGTGTCTATGTGGCTAAGGTTCAGCAGAAATCAGAACAGTAGCAGCTCCTGTTTGCTGCCATAGTCTGTTGCACACCAGGCTAAGCTGTATGGTCAGGATCTCATGTAATTCTGACATCAGCTCTACGAGGTAGGCACCAGTACCCTCATTTGATGGGTGAGTACGGGAAGTGAGTGAACTGGGTTGGGATGAAGGCCTGCTTCTAAAGCCCGTATTCTTAGCCATTCCATCTGAGGGACCTAAGGGAGGCAAACAAGAAAAAAGACCACCACTCCAATCTGTCTGCTTCTTTGTCTAAAGTGACGTAGCTCCCAGGCATGCTCCTTCTAGCCTGGGCTCAGCTGGGACATCTTGTCATTTAAAGCAAGATAGCCCTGTGGGCCCCTGCTTGCACATGGCTCCCAGGGCTGGCAGCTGGGAGAGGCCCCATTTCCCAGGTCCTGGGGAGACAGGTGCAGTCCTGGGGTGAGAGGTAGTTGTGATCCTTCAGCATCACCCAATGACCAGGACGGCTGGGCTAGCCAACCACACAGAAGCAAGACATGATTCCGACAGCTCAGACATTTCAGCGCATGCTAATGGCAGTCTCCACAACAACTCTGTCAACATGCTTGGCATGGGCATACTTTTTGGCACAAGGGACCTGGTTACTAAGTAACAATAGCTGGCCTCCCCTCCTCCCCATAACCTTTTTCTCTGTTTTTGAGCTTCTAGTAGGCAGGTGGGAGGGGCTGGGGTTGCCTAGCCCAGCACTTGGCTCCTCTTTCACGCGACAAGGGACCTATTCATGGGGCCTGAGCAGAGTTCATTGTCTCTCTGGTGTGTGTGCAAGCGCGCATGTGTGTGTGTGTGTGTGTGTAGGGGGATGTAGGGAGGGGCCATGTGTGAACCAGAGAGATCTCATTCTCTAACCAAATTGGCTGGACTGTTTAATAAGTGCTAACCCAAGGACAGGAGCAGAACACTATGTAGCGGCCCCTGAAGTCTTCCATCAGTGCCATCCACCTATGCGGTAAGGCTAGGCCTCTGTGCCATCCATGCTGCCACCTCATTCTCCCTCTGCCCCTGGGATCCTAGGCTGGTGGAGAGAAACACCCCGCTACCCCACACTCCCTCCACACTGGGCACCTGTGAGGTGGGAGCTGGCTTATGGCGGGAGGCGTCCCTGTGTGGTCAACTGTATTCTCTTGCCAGGGACTTCCTTTTACACTCTCTCTTGTCCCACATAAGGCTGGTCAAGTCCCTAGCAGGTAGGCAAGTATTTAGTACATCATTATCACATTGAATTTCCACTTAAAAAGACAATTGAAATGTCCCTTACAAGTAAGGACTGGCTTGTCAGGCTACCATAGGAGTTCAGGCAGGTGGGTTTGGAGGTGAGCTGGTCCCTAAGACGAGGCCGGTTTGTTCAGAGGCTGAACTGCATGCTAAGCCCCCATGAAGCTGAGACAGGAGACAGGAGAATAGGCTGCCAATGTCCTTGGAATTCTCTGCAGACCAGACTCTGCTGCGACATCTACTTAGGAGAAAACTACATCCCCAGAGGAAAGATGTGGCTCTCGCAGTCTGTTGTCCTCACATGCTCTTTCACCGGGGCTTACCTGGTTCTCCTGGTCTGTTATCCTTCAGCCCCATTGCCTGTGCCCTGTGGAATCACATCCATGGGCATACAGGTAGTGTGTCTGCTTGCTTTCCTCCTGCGGCACAGGCCTGCAGCTGGCAGGGGGCATCCAGTCCTACAGCTCCTAGCTATAAGTGGTGAAGGATATGGGGAAGTGGGAGTGCTAGGTCACAGCCCCCTTTGACAGCTGAACTGATCTGGGTGCTCATGGACCCTTGTGGTGATTTTCAGGGGGATTCAAAGGTGACTAACCCTGGGGGAGTCTGATGAAGGCTTTCCTGCCCTCAACCAAAGGAATAAGAAAGCCAGTTCACCAGGGCATGAAGGCAGGACTAGGGAGAGTTTGCACAAAAGAGTACTCATTGTGACGCTTGGAAATCGTATCTAAGCCAGTGTTTGGGCAGACGGCCGGAGTTGTCCAGGTTCGCTTTGTAGGTTGTTAGCCTAGCTGAGCACCTGTGGGGCTTTGCCGGATCTTCCTTCCCATTCCTCTTGTGTGTGACTCATGGGCTGCCGATGCAGAGACATGGCTTTTGCTGCTCAGTGCCTTTTCATTCTTAAATCTCTGACTCTTCAGAGTCTTTGAAAGCCTTTCTGTGGACCAGCTGGACACCTTTCTGTGTCCGCATAAACATCTCAAGGCCAGCTCATCTGTGAGGACCTCTCCAAGGAAGCCTTTGTTGATCTCCCAAGTGAGAAGTAAGTGTTTCTTCTTGCGAATGCCAATGATTAGTTTTGTTGCACCTTTCCTCGGTGGTTTAATACATTTCTCGTTTCCATGACATCTCCAGGGCTATGCTGCCAAGCCTTTGAGGTGCTATGAGTGTGTGAGTGTATGTTTCCTGAATTCCCTAGTTGTCCTCTTTACTGACCTGTGCATTTGGACTAAGTAATATTTATGGAATGAGTGACCCGGTGGGAGAGTGCATGGGGAAGGGAATAAAGATGGGAAGGGAAGGGGATGTTGAAGGTGGTGGTAGGAGCAGGGTGGGTGTTGAGAGACTCCAGAAGATGCCCTGGATGCTTATGAAGGCAAGATGAAGGGTGGGCAACCAAAGTGGGCCAAACCCAGGTTCAAGCCTCTGTTTTCCCTCAGGCTGTGTGAGAGCCTAGTGGCGGGGGGTGGGAGGGTGCGGGGGCTCCAGGGGAGAAGGCAGGATCTGAAGGGGAATCTGTGAAAGCCACAGGGTGAGGGAGAGCTTGCAGGTTTCAGCGAGCAGGGAGTGTGGGTATAAAACATGGGCTGGGACTCTTCTTGGCAGTACTTGACATGGGTACTCTGGCTGGCTGACCACTATTTCCCCAGAGTCGAATGCTGGATGAGCCATCCGTGATGGAAACCCAGTACACAGAGGATGACCCGGGACCTGGCACCCCCAGAGGAGAGCCGAGAGACCAGCAACAACCCAGCCGGCCAGACCAGGCCAGAGGGGAGAGAAGGGGTGGGGGCAGTAAAGAGACATTTATCTGCTTCCCTAGCTGCTCTATGGGCCAGTCCAAATAATCAGTGCTCAGAAATCTCTCTCAATCCCCTCACTAGCTGCACCTGCCTCTTCTCATTCTGGGGAGTGAGTAGGCTTGGTGGGCTGCCATCATTGGAACCTGCCCTCTCACCCCACTATTTCAGGCCCATGAGGACTGGGGCAAAGCCACTGTGGGAGCCCAGCGGGTGCCCCAGGTGGAGTCAAGCTGTCTGGTGAGAATAGGGAATAGAAATGTTTTCTGTCTTCCAGTTTCACAGTTAAAGTGCTGGCACTCAGTGCATCATGGCTGGGCTGTGCTGGGAGCAGTGGGCCTGCTGGCTGGAGCTGGCGTCAGCTCTTGGCTCCTATGTAAGTATAGGGGCCTTTCATGGCCAAGGCGATAAGGGAGATATATGTGCAACAGCCAGGATCTGGGAAAGGGAAGCAGGTACTGAGTAGGTATGAAGTGCTGACAGGGACCAACAATTTCCTTACCTACTCTATGTAGATAATCACAGGAGAAGAGCATAAAACTGCAGTGGGAAGGATTTTTGGCTCTACAAAAAAGAACATTTTAATCTTGCTGTGGAAAGTGTAAAATACCCAGTGGATGATCCAGGGAGGCCCTAGTCAAGCTTTTTCTAGAAATTTTTCCCAGAATGAGAGAGAATGAGAGAGAAGAGAGGAACAGAGACAGAGGGAAAGACACAGAGAGAAAAAGAACAGGGAAGAAAATGAGAGACCGAGAAAGGCAGGGACCCGTGCCTTGTGACTCACTCTTCAGGGGACTGGTTGGGACTGCCCAAAGCCAGGGTGGCTGATGAGGAGTCTCCCACCTTGGGGATCCCTCCCCTGTCCCAGCCTCTTATCTGTGAGACACCCCCCTCCCCTTCTGCCTTGTCCCTCCCTGTAGTGCTGTACCTGCAGCCCTCTGCCTCCCAGCCTATCTCCGGACCCTTGCAGCAGGAGGAGAGTGTGAGCTGTTCTGAGGCCAGCAGCCAGGAACCTGTTACCCCCACGCTTCCCAAAACAGGTGAGCCACTCCCCTAGAACACTGAGACTCTACACCAGCCCAGGACCCCTTTCCACAGCTCTGGAGTCCCCCTTAGTTCCCTGTCCCTTTCTGCCTTTCCCTGCTGTGGTGTGAGAATGGGGACAAGGTACCAGCCTTGCAGCATTGAGCTCTGACTTGGGGCTTGAAGTACTTCCTGGGGATCTCTGTCTAGGGTTTGGCCAGGAGCCCAGTTGGGCAGGAGGGATGGGAATTTGCCGTCTGGGACAAAGTGAACCAGCAGTGCTGGGGAAAAGGAGCCAGGTCTGTGAGGCGGTGGTGTGACACCAGTACGGAACCATGTCAACCCAGGGCAGCCTCGCTCTACCTCCTGTATTGTCCTTTCCCTTCCAGGTAAGGCTTGGGGATGGGAAGGTACAGTGATGGCTGGAGGCTGGTGGTCAGAACAAATTATAGGAATTAGAACAAGGCTGGAGTCTTGTGTTTGGCTTGCTGGGAAACCTAGGGCACATGGCATATTTGAGTCTGTTTCCTACTCTAGAAAATGTAAATAAAAATATATACTGCAAGAAGTAGTAAGGATTAAAGAAAAGCTAATATTTAAAAAAGGTTTATTGTGAAGCTTATTAATTTGCTTGCTTGGGCAAAATGCCAGAGTTGGGGGCTTAAGCCGCAGGCACTTGTTTTCTCACGGTCCTGGAAGGCGGATGCTCAAAGCTGAAGGTCCTGGCAAAGCTCCCATCCTGGCCAGCAGGTGTCTAACAGCAGCCGGGTCTCTCCCTGCAGTTTAATGACAGGCTGGTATCCACTTTTTAGAACCTCCTTAACCTCAGTTACCTTCTTAGAGCTTCTGAAAGACAGAAGCTTCAGATACAGTTGCCGCGGGGGTGGGGTGGGGGCTAGATTTCCACAGAAGAATTTATAGGAGACACCATCCAGTCTGTAAAACCTGGAGAAAGCAGACACTCAATAAACGGTCATTGTTACTATCACAAGATCTGAAGTTAAAGACCTGGAAGCAGCTATTGCTTGCTGCCTTTCCTGACGTGGGACAAATACTCTCACTCCTGTGCCTTAGTTCTTTGCCCTGCAGAGAGAAGGATGGTAAGATTTGCTGCCCAGGGCTGCCCCACTGACCAGTGACAGAGAGCCCCCCAGAGTACTTTGTTAAAATACAAAACCAAGGCGTTCCACGGAGAGTGGTTTTATTGTTTTGGGAATTGTGCCAACACTGTGGCCATGAGGGATCCTGGGTGACCCAGATGCTTCTGCTGAGGCTCCTTGAGGCCTCCAGCTCACCCTGTCTCACGACAGGTGGGATGTGGTTTGTATGTTGTGGTTTCAGTGTCTTTCAGAATAAACAGAGAGGACTTCCTGCTGGAGGTGCAGTTGAGGGCCTGGCCAGACTGGCTCCTGGTCTGTCACGAAGGCTGGAACCCCGCCCTGGGGTTGCGGATCTGCCGGAGCCTTGGGCACCTCGGGTAACAGGAGCCAGACCTGGAACCTGGTGGGCGGGTGGGGGGCGGTGCAAGGGAAGGCCTGGTGAGTGAGCTGTCACCCTCAGAAAAGTGCTCAAGAAATAGTAAGAGGTAGTTTGGGCTATCTTCTGGCCTCTGTAGTACCCCAGGCTGTTTCCTTTGAGCATTACTGCCCTTTTAAAAAAACGTATTTATTTATTTATTATTGGAAAGGTAGATTTAAAGACAGAAGGAGAGACAGAGAGAAAGACCTTTCATCCACTAGTTTGTTCCCCAAATGACCACAAAGGCTGGAGCTGAGCCAGTCCGAAGCCAGGAGCCAGGAGCTTTCTCTGGGTTTCCTGTGCAAGTGAAGGGTCCCAGGGCTTTGGACCAGCCTCCTTTACCTTCCTAGGTCACAGCAGGGAGCTAGATTGAAATGGGAGCACCTGGGCTAGAACCATAATGACATGTTAGGCTGCAAGGTGGAGAGTTAGCCTACTGAGTCATTGCAATGGCATCCTCATTGCTTTTTTTTTTTTTTTAAAGATTTATTTATTTATTGGAAAGTCAGATATACAGAGAGGAGGAGAGACAGAGAGGAAGATCATCCGACCGATGATTCACTCCCCAAGTGAGTGCAACGGCCGATGCTATGCCGATCCGAAGCCAGGATCCAGGAACTTCTTCCAGGTCTCCCACACGGGTGCAGGGTCCCAAAGCTTTGGGCCGTCCTCGACTGCTTTCCCAGGCCACAAGCAGGGAGCTGGATGGGAAGCAGAGCTGCCGGGATTAGAACCAGCACCCAAATGGGATCCTGGCAGTGTTCAAGGCGAGGACTTTAGCCGCTAGGCCACGCCGCCGGGCCCATCCTCATTGCTTTTTAACAAACAAATCCCAGAAGAGGTCATGGGTAGGGCCTGGCTCCCTCAATGTGCTGGTAGTGTTCCAGGCACATTCCAGTTATGCTTGCTTAACCACCATTTCTCATGTCACTGTTTAAAGCTGATTTTCTCCTGTTCTGTTCCCTTCTATTCAGATTCACTCAGCACAAGGGAGTAAACCTGTCTGATATCAAGTTCAGAGGCTCTCGGGAGTTTGCTCAGCTGTCTCCCAGACTGGAAGGCCTCTTGGAGGAGGTGTGGCATCTTAGGTAGGGCTTCCAAGGTTAGACGAATTGGGTCCTTTACTTCCTGCTGGGCAGTGCAGCAAATCTCTTCCCTTCTTGGGAAGCTGGTAACCAGGACATGCCCTGTGTGAGAGAGGAAGACGAAGCTCAGAGCCACTTGGTGGGAAAATCTCGCTTTCTTATCTGTGAATAAATGCTTCATTTGCAAGTCTGGGCCCTGCCCAAATCAATCCTCAAGGACCAAGGAGTCCTTCTGCCACCCTCTGGGAGTCTGGGGGTGGGGGTGTGTGTTTGGGTGGGGCAGGCAAGAAATAGTGGGTTCTAGTCCTGTTAACTGGCTACCACCCCTTGCTTTTACCCCCACTCCGGGGTATATATGTGCAGTCTCAGGATGGGTACCTGTCCAGCTTCCTGTGAGTGGCTCTGTTTTGCAGGGACAACTGTACCTCTGGTCGAGTTGTGTCCCTCAAATGTTCTGGTGAGTTGGATCTTGGACTGATTTAAGTTAGGGAGGGGAGAAGGTATCACTCCTGCTCTGAGTGTCAGCCGGCCGCATGGACAACTCAGCTAGATTTGGGTTGGAGTTCTTGCCCACCTACCTGCTGGGCTCCTCCTTGAAATTAGTTATGGTTCTGCCCAAAACAGAACCCTGCCTGAGCTTAGGGCCCAGTTCCCAGCAGCCATTGGGTTGATGATCTCCTTCATCACCACCTGCCACTGTTTACCATTGCCTCTGACACTCACTTGCCCTTCTGGAAAACTCCAAAGGGGAAATTATATATGGTCATTGAATAAGCTGTTGGCAGTCTCAGGAGACCAAGGGCAGGTGTGAATTCTGGGCTCAAGGGGGAAGTTGTAGTCTTCCTGTCCGTCATCCAGTTACCTTTCTCTCCACTCAGACCTAAATGTGGGATGGGCATTAGAGTGGGTGCTGGGGCTCCACAGGTAACACAGATGTAATCCCCGCAACTGGAGGGGCAGGCAGGTATATTATCAACACATGGGCCTTCTCATCCCTCAGGGATAAGTAAGGACAGCCTCATTGGTTCTGGGGTTTGGCTCCTGGCTATATTCCCTGAGAATCAGGACCGCTCTGACACCTCTCTCTTTCTGTCTTACCTTTCTCCATTGGCAGAATGTGGAACAAGGCCCCTGGCTTCCAGGATAGTCGGTGGACAGGCTGCAGCCCCTGGTCGTTGGCCGTGGCAAGCCAGTGTCACCCTGGGCTCCAGGCACACGTGTGGGGCCTCTGTGCTGACCCCACACTGGGTGGTCACTGCAGCGCACTGCATGTACAGGCAAGTCCTGAGGGTGGGGGCACATGGTTGTCTTTTTCTGTTTAGTTGTTAGGATGTTCCGTGTGAAAGTCCATGTCCAGTTGTCTCCTCCAGGTGGGGCTAGGGCGATGCCTAACTTTCCGTTTGGGTCAAGACCAGATCTGCCCAAGTAGCAGGCATGATGTAAAGATTGGTTCCGTGTAATTGTTCCGTGTGTAAGTTTCTGAAAAGCTGCCATACCTGCAGCCCTCTGGGCTTCTTCGCATTTATCACCACTGTTATGAAACGCTTTTCCATGCAGTGATTTGCTTCATGCCTTCTTTGTCCTTCAGGCTGGAAACACCATGCAGGCACTTGTAGTCTGGTTTATCACCTTGTCTCTTTGTAGATTTCTCCACGGCGGGGTCCCCAGTGCCTAAAACAGTCATGGCAACGTAGCAGGGGCTTAATACATTGTAGAAAGAATGAACAAATGAATGAGCTATTTGCTCCTCTTCTCTTGGTGACAGGCAGAGGGAGCTGAGGTGAGGGAGGGGTGTGTCTCCCTCCCATCATATGTGGTAAAAGGAGACAGTGCTGAAGGAAGGGTTCCCCTCTCAGCTTGGAGTTCTGGGCTCACACAAGACCTGCTGAAGTTTGCTGTAAAGAGGGGTTACTGAGGAAGGAAATGAGTGATGACCCACAATGTCTCACTGCTTCTGTCTCAGAGCATCTTCTGAGCACCTGCCAAATGCCCAGTATCTTGCCACCTGCTAATATGGTAATAAGAGGCATGGTCTTGGGTCCCAGGATCTGGCAGCTAATGGATAGCTTTTTTGGAAAGCATCCTCCAACTGCCATGTCCCTATTGTCAGCCTCTTGGGTCCCTTCATTCCCAGCTCAGCATGGGCCCTGTGTGTAGTTTCAGGCTGTCCCGGCTGTCCAGCTGGCGGGTGCACACAGGGCTGGTCAGCCACAGTGCAGCCAGGCCACACCAGGGGGCCATGGTGGAGAGGATCATCCCTCACCCCTTCTACAGCGCCCAGAATCATGATTATGACATTGCTCTCCTGCGGCTCCGGACGCCGCTCAACTTCTCAGGTGAGATGCTGGCCCTGGGTGAGCAGGTGAGCAGGGATGGGAGAATAGCAGTGGACAGAAAGAGATGAGCTGGTTTCTCAGGCTTCCTCGTGGGGCTGTAAGCGTTAAACCATTTCGTTCATCTGGGACCAAAGTGAATTTTGTCATCACGTAGATCTGATGTTGCAACAACTTTCACCTGGAATCTTTGTGGGACAAAAGCCTAGACTGTTTTGAAGTTGAGGCATGTGGGATTTACCATGTGGTCCCAAGCAGAACTTGCCTAGTGGCCCCACCCAGCCAGCCTTCTGAAAGGAGTTTCCAACCTCCCTCTCAGTCTCCAGGCAGCAGGTGGTGGCATGTGTGCTGCCCACCTCTAGAGGGCACTGTACACATTGCCATGTGTACTCTGCTGTGACTGGAGACCCCTAAGGTGGGTCCGTGCACACAAGCTGCACAGCCCTCCAGGGTGCCTGGCTCCAAGTCTGAGAAGGAGGATGGAGAGGATCTGCCTGTCCTGGCCCTTCACCCAGACTCCGTAGGGAGAAGAGCCAAGCCCGAGTGAGGACTGTGACCCTGTGTCTCCCTGCAGACACAGTGTGCTTGCCAGCCGAGGAGCAGCATTTCCCAAGTGGCTCTCAGTGCTGGGTGTCAGGCTGGGGCCACACTGACCCCAGCCATGGTGAGTCAGCTCCCAGGGCCCTGGGGGAATAGGGGCATGGGTGGGGGGCATGCTTCCCCAAAGTGAGGTACCTCCACTTCCTCAGGCCATGGCAATGCCAGTGCTCTTTCCCTGGCATCATCCGTGGCCAGGCCCGGGACTCCAGGTTCTGCTGCTCAAGTCTTCCAGGAGAGGAAGTTTTTCCTAAATCCAAGCCCTTTCTGTCCCAGGAGGTTATCACATCCACATTTGGTGGCTGTGAGTCCTCTTCTTCATCTTCCAGCTGTCAGACACCTGCCCCCTCACCTGGGCTCCCCTCCCTGGGGCTGCATGCCTCTGGGACCTCTGTGCACCTCTGTTGTTGCTGCTATTTCTTCCTGGCCCATGCTGGGGCCCTGCAGCTTCTCTGGGTGTCTCCCACAGCCCACAGCTCAGACACTCTCCAGGACGCCGTGGTGCCCCTGCTCAGTTCCCGGCTCTGCAATAGCTCTTGCATGTACAGTGGAGCCCTCACCCACCGCATGCTGTGTGCCGGCTACCTGCACGGAAGGGCCGACGCCTGCCAGGTGAGGCCTGTGCTCCGGGGGAGGGGACACGAGACAGTCCATCTGGAAGGAGGGACACTTAGAGAGCCTAGAGCTTGTGATAAGGGTTTGTGCAGAGGGGTGTTCTAGCAGGGAGAGGAGGAAGCTGGGTAGCAGAGTTCATTCTCCGTGGAAGTGCAGTGCTTCTGCACCAGCAGGAACTAACTGGCTATTTCTCTCTGTCTCATGCTTGCATCCCTCAGGGGGACAGCGGAGGCCCCTTGGTGTGTCCAGATGGGGACATGTGGCACTTAGTGGGCTTGGTCAGCTGGGGTCGTGGCTGTGCAGAACCCAATCACCCAGGTGTCTATGCCAATGTGGTTGCGTTCCTGGACTGGATCCATGACATTGTGCAAGTGAGTTGGTGACAGGGAGGTTTGAAAGGACTTGCCCTTGGTCCCTGTGAATCACCCCACCTGTGGGTGCTGGGAGGGGACCAGGAAGCTGGGGAAGAGGAGGCCTGGGTCTACAGTCTAGATCTGTCATTTCCTTGGTGGCCTCTGTTAACTTCCTAACCTTGGTCAACCTCCGTTTCCTGGCAACAACAGTTGTGGCCACCTCTTGTACCAAGTGTGACCATTGTGTGGAGAGTTTGCACCCAGGGGCTTGGGTTCTTACATTTTTATGTGACACTGGCAAGCCACGGTACTCCCTCCAGTCCATGGGAGGACCATGCAGGATGGCACAGATGAGAGCACGTGATTCACAGCAGGTGCTTGAACAGTACACAGCGTGATAGAAAGTATCTCCGACATGGGCTTGGGTGCAGGTGGAAGACAATGGCTTTAGGATCTACCTGGGGGTGTGCATTCATCTCCTCACTGCAATCGTAGAAAGCCCATCAGAGGACTCAGCTATTTTAGACCCAATCTAGAGGTGGGAATCCAGGCTCTGAATGGCTAAGTGACGACCCTGGAGCCAGGCCGTGAGTCCAGCTCTTTTCTCTTTTGGTGTGGGGCTGTTTGCCTTAATCTGTGTTGTGTCCTCTTCCTTCACTCTCATGGCCACCTGGCCTCATGTCTCCTGGGGTCTCCGGCAGGTCCACTAGATGGAACGGAAGCAGCAGCTCTGATGCCCATGGCGGGAAATACACTACGCTGCAAGAGAGACACAGCCACCACCCTTGGGCCACCAGCTCTTCCCCTCAGGATCTGACGTGGAGTGACTCTTTATCACTAGGGAGGCTCAACAATCGGAGAGATGGGGGCTGGGTTGGACATGGTGAGGGGTGAGGAGGAAGAGAGAAGAGTCAGTTGCTGGAGACAAACCATCTGGGAGCCTGCCCTCTGCCTGCCCCCTCCTCTGTCCTGTGCACATAATGCTCAGGGTAGCCCTGCCTTCCCCACTGTGTCCTCAGGCAGAGGCAGGCTGACTGCCTCCCTGACTCCAACCTTGATAGGGCCAGGGCTGGGCGAGAACCCAAAGTTCTCCTCATTGCCCTGGCAGTCTTAGCTATTGCCCATTCTCCCCAGCTCAGGTGGGTCCCTCGTGCTAAGGTGCCACGTATAACCAGGAGGTTGGTATTGGGATAGGGCATAGGTTTGAAAAAGAGAGTTCTACAGGCTGGTGCAAAGAGTTCTGGTATTAAAGCGAATGACGTGCTGTGTGGTCTCAGGTCAAAGTCCTTCTATCTCACATGGATGTGTTGTGGGGTAGAAATACAACTTTCCTGCCATGCGTGTTTCCTCAAGCTTCGGTGCTCAAGGCTGTTCGTCTATTCTAGAATTTTGTCATTTGCGTATTTATCTCATCCTGTTTCCACCCTCCTCCCCCCAAAGTTTGTTGTTTCTTTCACTCCCCAAATGCCTAAAGCGCAGGGGCTGGGCCTGCAAATTCACTCCAGGTCTCCAGAGTGGCAGCAAGGACTCCGCGAGGTGGAGCTGGCATTATCACTGTCTCCTGCGGTGTGAGTTACGGCACTCTGCAACTGGGAGCTGGGCCAGAACCCAGACACTTTGGTGCAGGATGGGAGCATCTGGCTGCTGTCTTAACTGCTACATCAACCACCCGTGCTTACGTAATTGCTGACATTCATTGGTTGCATCTGCTTCTGTAATGAAAAGCCCCAGCTGACCAGGCACTCTGTGGCTTCTAGCCTGCACACCCTGCTCTCACAGGCAAGATTAGATTTCCTGCAGGGAACACCTCTCCTTCTTAACTCCTGTTTTGGAACATGGCCTTTTGGGTCAAGCCCAGTTAACACTATCCCAGCTAAAGCCGTTCCCTACTTTCTCTTCTTTAGCAATTGAAACACACTTGGCATCTTGTCTCTGAAAGCTGCCATGAATTTTTTATGGTGCTTATCCAAGGAAATGCAATTAGCATGTAGCAATAGCAGAACTATGTTATCTGCATATTCCCTGCCCCCCGCCCGCTGTTGTACAGATGATTCCTGGAGGGTCTCCTCTGTTTACACGAAATGCATGAAGAAGTCAGGGTTTGCTTTTGCTGTTGATCTATTCCAGATGAGGAGCTTGCTGGGTTTTTGCTGACCAGTTGCAGAAATCGTGTGGGAAAAGTCAAAGCAGCCTCCCACTGTGCCCTGGAACCCAGACCTTCCACACCTCCAGTTTTCCCCAGCCGGTAGCATTTGAACAGTGCTTCTCAGGGTATAACCCCGGCTTGCCTGGGGGATCTCATGTCTGTGTGCCAAGGAGGTGACTCTGACTGCCCCATTTTACAGAAAGCACCTTAGTCCAGAGAGCCCAACATCACTCAGCTAAGTGAGCGCCAGGCTTGGGATCTGTCTATACCTGGCACCTGGCTGAATTACAGGGACTGCAGAGGTTGGCCTTGAGAGGCACTCACCACTGACTCACCTATCCTGTCACCTGTGTCCCATGAGACACAACCTGTTTCTGCTATCACTGAGCCCACTGACACTCAAGCAGCCAAGGGCCCCTGCTGTAGACCCTTCTTAAGCAGTCTTTGAAGGCGCTCCCAGCTCTCCCTGAGATTTGTAACCTGCCTTAAACTCCATGCACATGTACCTCCTGTAGGAGAAGCACAACAAATGCACTACATAGGGGATTGCTGGCTAGGATTCCTTGATGGTCCATAGAAGCTCCAGGGATCTGGCCAGGCCACCAGCCAGGCTGGAGACTCAGAAGAGATCCTTCTCCCTCTGTTAGTGAGCACTATCAGCCAGACTCTCAGGAAAGCCAGGGAGGAGCGGCCCTGCTGGCTCTGTTCCCCTAGAGCCAGCTGCTTGGAGGTAGGGGTGGAGCTGGCAAGATATTCCTGCTCAGCTCTCAGAGGACTTTAACGTGGGTCAGCAGCATACCCTGCTGGATCTCTCTCCCCACCTGCTCTATAGGGAACTGGCAGGTAGAGAAGCCAACTGTCTTACTGAGACTTGCTGGCAACCAATGGTCAGTGGCCAATCAGGTAGGTGAGTGGAGAGCCAGGCTGTAAGGGACCTCCCTGGGCGTCTGCTATGGGGTAAGTCAGGGCTGGTCTCAGTGAGGGAAACCTGCCCTCTGCTCCCCATGCATTGAGCATGTACCAGTTTTGGCACAGCTTTTGAATTTCCTGAGACTCCCCAGGAAGCTCACCGCAGGTCCCCAAGCCTTGGGTGGAGCCCTTCTCTCTTCTTTCCCTTCCCTGTGCCCGCAGGGTCTTTAGGGTACTGCGGCATGAGGGCTGGCCCTCCCTGGGACAGCTTCTGCAGAGTTCTGCTGTTCCTAGAAGAGCTGCTGAGAACAAGTGGGGAACAGTTCTCAGATTCCTTCTTGTAGAACCGGCTCACCCACCATAGGGCAGAACAGGCTATCCATGCTGAAAGTAGGAACAGAAGTCCCTCCATTGTTCTTCTCTCCTCTGCCCTCTCCTGGCCACACACAAGGCACTTCTTGCTGCTCTGAGGTGGTACTCCCTTCCATAGAGCCCCTAGCCTTGGCATCTGACCATAGGAAACCCCATTTCTTGCCACTGAGCCCAATGAGGGCTGTAATGGGGCAGTGAGCTACTGCCCATGGCTTGGTCTTGCTGCTCTGTGACCTCTGGCTTGTCAGAGGAGGGGTCTAGACCAGGAGGTCAGCAGGGTGTCTACCTGTCTGACCGGCTTTAATGCAGGCCTTCTGGGCTTCAGACCTTCCAGCTGGGACACCCTCAGAGAGGACCCTGTTCCTTGGGGACAGAGCTGGAGAAAGTACTTGCACAGCTGTGAGCCATTCTGCTTGCAGGCCTGACCTCTGGGTCCCTGACAGGCATAGACAGCAGGATAGAGACTTGCAAGTCACCCTTCCCCATGCTCTTCGGTCCAGCACTGGTATATAGAGCTCCCAATGTTTTCGACCCAGCCTGGGGAATCCTTCAATCCAGGACAATGAGGATGGTGGCTGATACTAAGCCTCTCTTTTGTATCAAGAGTTCTGCAAAAAATCCAGGGCCCCTCAGCCTCCTGGGACCCTCCTGTCCTCCTTGAGGTTGACTGAGTCCAGTGACGCCCTCCCTGGTACCCAGAGTAGGAAGAGGAGGGTCCCGGTTGGTAGACAGTGAAACCAGCAGATACTGCTTTGGCCCAGAGGCCCTTTGGACAGCCCAAAGTTGACTTGACTGTTTTCTCGTTTTAGTGGATCCTATCTCTGCTCACTTCACCTAAGGTTTGCTGCAAAGCACCTGTACCCAGCCCAGGTGCTCTCTGACCATTTGGGGGATGCTGGAGGATGAAACAAGTAGAGAGTCACCCCAGAGTGCCTTGCAAATGGATTTCTTGGTTTCCTCATTGATTTCTGCAGAAACCAGTACAGGGCTTAATGTGTGACAGGTGCTGTCTGAGAATGGTGGTGCACACTCAGGAGCAGGGAGAAAAGCCTGCCGTCCTCCTGGGAGCTGGAAGGGCCCATTCCCTGGTCCCTGCCTTCCAGTGGCCTTTGAGAGGAGTGAAGAAGAAGCTACCAGACTGCCAGAACCCACAGGGATTTTGTGGAGTTTGTTTTTCCTTAGCTGCCTGCAGCACTGAGGGCATGAATAAAAGAAGGAGGGAAGATTTACTGTTCCCACATCTTGGCAGTGAGCCCTGTGTTTGTACAGCGGATCCAGGAGAGGAGAGGCTCACGCAAGTGGGAGGGATGTTCGCACTCAAGGAGGAAAGAAGACCCTTGCAGGGTATCTCTCTGGGTATTTTGGCATGCAGCTGCCGCGAGGCTGGCAGCAGCAATCTTGAGTGATCTCTCCCTTCACAGGGACTTCAGTGTCCTCTGACCACAGCCTTACCCCATGCAAGGGTGGTTTGGGGCTTGCAGAGTCCAGAGCAGGCATCTGGGCTGTGACAGGCTGTAACCCTGGGAACAGGTGTTGGGTCCAACAGAGTGTGCTGCCTCAGGCTGGCCTTGTCTGCCACTCAGAGTCCTGT